ACCATTTGTGGGTTTGAGCCCCGAGTCGGGCACCACACTGACAACGAGGGGTCTGCTTGGGATTTTCTCTCTCCCTTGCTCTCTGCCCCTCCCCCATGCGTGGCCTATACACACACGCATGCTCGCTCTCAAGATAAATAAACTTAAAAGAAAAAAGTATTACAGTGTTAAATGAGAAAGAAACGATGGAGTATTACCATTTGCATTAATGAATTAGAGATGCAATGATCATCACGAGATCTTGTGTGATCTCCTCCTTAACTGAGCGAGGGCAGATGTATATATACCAATAAAATATGGCAGAACTGACCATACAGAAGTTTCCAGAGGAGGTCAGACGGGCACCGTAATCTGTCTTGGTGTGCAGGGTCACCTTCTCTGGGGGAAGCCGGCCACCATGTCCTGAGGATACTCGAGCAGCCCCTGTGAAGACTGCCCACATCAAGAGGAGCTGGCCCCCACCCCAAGGCCTCTGGCGCCCATTCGGCCGGCCATGTGAGCGAACCACCTTGGAAGTGAACCCTCTGGCCCGGCCAAGCCTCTGGATGACCGCAGCCCAAGCCAACACCTGGCTGCAACCTGACAAAAGACCATGAACCAGAACCACCAACCCCACCAGCTCTCAAATTCCTGACCCACGGAATTTTGGGGTGATTTTGTTATGCAACAAATACAACACCGTTTTCTCTCCTTTTATACGTGTTGCAAATTCTCCACAATAAAAATGGTCAGTCAGCTAATTACAGGTAGAATCCTTTCAGCAACTCCTTTGTTCCTGTCAGAGCAGACACTGGGTTAAACGGAGAGGGGAGAAGAGTGAATATAAAACTCACGCCTTTACACGTATCTCACAGTCTCTTAGGAAAAGAGGATCATAGGTTATCTCCATTCTCTCAAAAAAACCCTCTATCAGGTAGAATTCATTATTGCTATTTTGCAAGCAAGAAAATCAAGAAAGGTGCCAGAGAAATGAGCAACTTCTCACAGTGGTTGAAGCAGGATACAGAAGTCTGTTCCTTCCACCGTACCTCAAAGCCTTTCCGACCTTGTAATTTCTCCATCAGGCCCATCAGAACCAGAGCTGCTAAGGTCCCGATCTGTGTGTTGTAGGTAAACACCACCCTCCATCACTCACAAAGCACCTCTCCGCTTCCCTTTCCTCACCAACACACACAGCGGCCGTTAGTGCGGCCCTAATGCTAAGCAGACAGGAGTTGCTGAAGGAGGGAAAAAGATGACAGGAGCTCGAAGCTCCAATTCACACCCCAGGTTTCTGCGCCGTCTGGACGGGACTGCTCTTCAGGAAACGATTATTGGAGTGGACAGTGATCAGGTTCTCCAAATTTCTCTTTTCACCACTTATTTGTTTTCAAAGTTAAAGGGGGTGGGACGTGGGGTTCTACAAACCAATGTAATGCTACCGTAGGTCTTTCCTTGTTCCCCAGGGTAAATCGTGTAATTGAGTATTGCAGAATCATTTATAAATGCAAAATTATTTTCCAAATATGTTCTTAAAAAGAAAGTCCTAATCTACTCTTCAGAGTCCAACAGATACTCATATTAAAACCATTCTTTTTCTTTAAATTAAAAAAAAATTTTTTAAGTTTATTTTTGAGAGAGAGAGAAGGGAGAGAGACAGCGCGGCAAAGGGGCAGAGAGAGAGGGAGACAGAATACGAAGCAGGCTCCAGGCCCTGAGCTGTCAGCACAGAGCCCAGTGCGGAGCTCGAACCGTGAGATCATGACCTGAGCGGAAGTCGGATGTTTAACCGACTGAGCCACCCAGGTGCCCCTAAAACCATTCGTTTTCAAAAAACAAGGTAGAACCTTTCATTTTAGGAAACTACTATTTGTTAAGTGTTTACAGCTTTTTAGCCATTGAAGATTGTTTTATATTCATAATTTGATCCAATCTTGACAACTATGCCCCCCTTTTATACAAATAAAAAGCTTAGGCCCCAAGAGGTTACGGGACTCACTAAAGGTCAGAAGGCAGGGAGTGGCGGGGCTGGGATTCGGACCCATCCTATCTGCCTCCAAAGCACATCTTCTGACCACCTTACACAAGAGGAAAACGCCCTACCAAAATCAGCCGCCACCTAAAGCCTAAATGTAACTATATTGTCTTAAATTCTCCTTCTTTCTGGGCCCATCAGAACACGGCTCTCGGCTTCCTGCTGTCAGGACAGAATGGAGAACGAGAACGTGCTACGTCCCCACATCTAGGTGAACAGGAGCAACTGAAGTGCAGAAAAAAATCAACAAAGAGGATATTGACGTTACTTTCAACGTTGTCTCTGAGCACAGTTCACAGGGGGGTGGGGAAGACAGCCAAGATTTCCACGCTAAGGAAAGAAAAAGGAAATAGGGACTCTGGAACTAACTTCCAGGACAGATTTCTCAGGCTTAAAATAGGCCTGACCTTAGGATTGTCATGAGAAAAGCCAGAACAAATGAAGTCATCATATATAAACTGTTTGTTCTCAAGGACATGACTAGTGGGCACACAGCGCAGAACTAGGTTAAGGGACACCGACTGATTAGCCAACATCGCTTTGCTGAGCTTTCCTACAGGTCACACTTGAAGGCTATTAAAGTCACTGATGGTCCACGCAACTTCAGAGGGGCTTCAAGTTCACCGCTCCTTCAAGCCCGCACTTCCCCAAACTGACTGGGAAAGGGGTAGAGAAAAAGGCCACCTCCTCTGAAGTCGGTCCATTCGGGAGCAGTGGATGCGGGCCCCCCGGGGTGGTCCCTACAGGCACAGGGCCATCTCCGCAGCCCAGCCTCAGCCCTCCTGGAGCTTGCCTATCGGGAGGAGGTGATCGAACACGCAGCAACACGTGAGATCTGAGCTCTGCTTCAAACAGGATGCCGCAGAGCACACAAGTGGGGACCTGGGACCTGCCTATGTGGGGAGGGGAGGAAAACGGCCTCTCGGGGGGAGACCCGAAGGAGGAACAGGAATCAAGTGCAAATGGAGTAAAAGAGTACTTGAGACTGAGGCCAAAGTCCACACCAGGTCTACCGACCAGAAGGGACACACACATTCATGATAACTCTGGCTCAAATAGAATACATGCTGAGGTTTTAATGCAAATTTTTATTGAAAGTTAACGTACTCACAAAAAAGAATATAAATCCTAAGTATGAAGCTTGGTGAACTGTCACAAAACGAACCCACCCACATAACTACCATCCAGGTCAAGAAATAGAACATTACCAAACTTAGAAGCTCTTGTGCTTTCTCCAAATCACTATCCCGCCCTCTTCCCCTAAGGTCAGCACCATTCTGACTCCCAAAACCACACCTCGGCCTGATTTTGAACTTGGTATAAATCAAATAATATAGCATGCAATCTTTTCTGTCTGGCTTCTTTCACTCAACACTTTGCTCGTGAAATTCATCCAGGCTGCCACACACAGCGATGCTTCTTCCATTTCTGTTGCCACAGAATATTCCATTATGTATTCCACAATATATATTCCATTACACGCCGATTCCACAATCCACTCTCCTTTTGATGGATCTGAGTTACTGCTTGTTTTGGCTATTGTGAGAAATAATGCTATGAACATTCTAGTACATGACTTTGGTGAACACATGTACACTTTTCTGCTGGGTATACACCGAGGAGTAGAATTGGGGGAGACAACATGCCTATGTTCGACTTTAATAAATACTGCCAGACAGTTTTCCAAAGTAAGTTTACCAATTTACATTGTCACTAACAGCATATGACATTTGTTTCTTGTTTGGCTGGTTTTTGTCATAACAGACAAAATAATCTACCACAGTCCAGAGAAGATCTAAACTTTTGATGAAAACTGGTCACGAAAAAACACTGAGTCCCTCTCCAGCCTGAAATCCCCACGTATGCTCCTTTACGTGAATTTTATTATTTACCACCCCAAATTCCTAGGTTTTACCAAGGGTATGCTCTTAAGACAATGCATGCCATTACAGAGAGAGATCTGTAACATCCTTATTTCCAGGTCACAGGAAACACACACACAGGAACAGTATTTTGTGGGTCTGATCATAAAATACTCTATATCACCTACAGCCGCCAATGGCTTTCTAATAGTCACTTTCAAAACAGGCTGAGTTTGTAGGTCACTTGTGGTATATTACAAGGTAGAGAGGAGAGAGCTAGAATGGTCTCCCTCCAGGTTGGCTTTTTAGACATCTCTGCCTGGTCACAAAGTAAAAACCGCACTTCACCCCTCCCACCCTTCCCCACTATGAACCTCCCCCGCCCTTAAACAACAAAGCATCATACACAAACAGAGACACCCCAGGAAGAACGAAGAAAAGGGGGCAGAAATTGTGTGAAGGACACTTCCTTCCTTTTTCTTTTTACAGGACTCAAAACCTGTCCCTCCCATGTGCCCATTGTCAAAACAGGACTCCTGAAGACAAAGGACAGGCTGGCCCGGGAGGAGGTTGGCTGGGCAGCGTCCTAGGCTCACTGAGGGGCTGCTCGGACAGGACAGCAGGAGAGGGGGGCTCCCTTCGGCAGGAAGAGCACGGCATCCCCAGCAAACAATGCTGGCAGACAGCGCTTCGGGGAGACTCAGCAGAAGGTGGACGGCTCGGCGAGCGAGGGCAGGATGGGGTGGGGTGGGCCGAGGGTAGTAGCAGAAGACTGCGGTGGACGTGTCAGTGTGGGGAGGAAGTCCACGTCAAGTGGTAGGATCTCGTCCCTGGAACCTGGGATCGGCAAAGGAAAGAGCGGACGCAACGGGGGCCTCAGCCTGGGGAAACCAGGGCACTGGCAGGCAGCCAGCATAGGACAGAGAGCGACAGCCACAACCGGCAGCGGGACTTAAGATGGGAACGTGTCCACAGCACCGAGGTCCAGGTATTACACACGGGGCTGAGTCCCAGAGTGTGGAACGAATGACTAATTTCCTCCAACGGAATTGGGGTCGGGGTGGGGGGGGGGGTTCGCAGTGAGGAGGAGGGGTGTGGTGGGACAAATCTCACCAAGGTTCAAGGAGAAGGGCAGTGAGAGGGAGCCAGGCAGACCATTACAGGTACCAAGAGAAGGAGACTGGACTTCTGAAGACAGACTGAAACAGATACGATTAACCAATGTTTCACTGTCAAACACAGCAAACGTCACCTGGCTTCTGACCTCTTCCCGGGCCAGAGGCACAGGCACCGAGACCCCCGGGAAAGCCTCGCAAAGGCCACAGCTGCTGGCGGCCAGGCCCCTCCGCCAGAGGCAGGCTGCCGTCAATGTCCCCACGGTCACGCCCGGCCACCTCAGGCCCTGAGGCGCTCATCATCCAGCAAGTGCCACGGGCCACTCACATTCGTGAAGGATCCTGACCCCGAGCTCAGTCTCCTCCACCGCAAATCCTACCATCATCCTGGGCAACCTCACGGTTCATTTGGTGACACCACCGCCGTGTCACTGTTCTGTTCCTTCACGTGAACTGGGACTACGACCTGCAGCCCACCCCCCTCGCCCCAGGCACCACTGCATGGCCACACTCGTGACTTCATCTGGCAGAATGGACCGCAACTTCCCAATTCATCCCTTCTTTCTCCTAGCTGTTCGCATTCATAACAACAGTAACCATTATTAAGAAAAATATCGAATAACGGGCAACACTTAGGGGGTGTTTACCATGTGATATGCACAATTCAGAGTGCTTGACACTATCAACCCATGTACACCTCACAGCACTCCGAAGAGATAGGTGCAATCATGCTTCTCATTTACCGGATTTGAAATCCGAGGCTCAGAGAGGTGGAGTAATTTTCCGGGGTCCCACAGCTATAAACTGGCTCTAAAGAGCTGCCATTTGAAAACAGGTGGTCTGGTACCACAGTATGCTCATGGGCTCGCTCTCTCTCTCATTTTGTTACATTTTATCAAATACACACAGAGAAAGCCCCCAGTCTCCCCTTTCAGTACCCCTGTGCTGACTTCTTTTATTTTAACATTTATTTATTATTGACAGACAGGGAGAGACAGAACATGAGCAGGGGAGGGGTGGAGACACAGAATCTGAAGCGGGCTCCAACCCACGCACTGTGAGATCACGCACCGTGAGATCACGCACTGTGAGATCACGCACCGTGAGATCACGCAATACCTGAGCCGAAGTCAGACGCTTAACCGACTGAGCCACCCACGTGGCTCCTCCCCTGTGCTGACTTCTAACCGCGTAATGTCTTCACACGCGGCCCGCCTCTGCAGCCTTCGCTACTACCGCCGCCGCTGTGGGAGGGACCTGTGCTGAGCCACTCTACACACGCGGCACCGTGCGCATTTCAGCCCTGGATCTCCATCCCCTCTGGCGAGACCGCCTGCCGCCAGCGCCCCGGCCCTCGCCTGGCTCCGGCATCTGCCCGCTGGGACCCACCGTGTCACGCCCACACGCCAAGGAACAAAGGGCTCGCACACGTGGCAGAGCGGCACGTGCTGCCACGTGCTTCCTCTAGAGGCCCTCCCCTCCCCCCACCGCTCTCTCCCCTCCTCAAAGGGGCGATTCCAAGTGTCCCCCTCACTGGCCGCTTCCCGACGCCCACCGCCCCCCTCCCCGCACACTTCCCGCCTCCTGTTGCGGGGCAACCCTGACACCATTTACCCTAAGCAACTTCGGAAGACAAGCGGGGGAGGGGAACAGCTACCTGTTACAAAGGACAAATGGATTAATAACATCCTTAACTTTCTAAAAATCCCATACAAACGGAAAACCCTCCAATCCCCCAATACGAAATGGCCAAAGTTAACAGTATCCAAAAAAGAAACTACAAATGGTTGATAAACATCTGGGAAAAGACTGAACTTCATTTCTGATTAAATAAATGTAAATACAATTGGCCAAAGTTAAAAACTGATGATCCCACATCCTCCCAGACAGGCTGAATTTTAATTCCCGAATCAAATTAGCAGGGAGCCGGGCCCACTTACTTTGGCCCCACCCGAAGTCCACCGACAGCATTCTGGCCCCCCCCCCCCCACCTCACCCCGGTGACAAACCACTCAGGGACACGCACCACCACGTTTCTTGTGGGAATGCTGCTGAGAGCCTCGTCCCTTAAGAAGGGCCCAGAAGAATAATTTCCTTAGGCCTCAGGTCAGAAACGATACTTCTCTTGAGTCACTAGCTTATGTTAACCTCAGGAACTCTGGGGCTGTCTTTTATTTGTTAAGACTGCAGAAGCTCAGAGTGTAACGTGGGACCCAACCCTGGGTACCAGGCAAACCTCTGTGGCACGCACTGCCACATCGGACCCAACTCCTGACAACTGATGGGCCCACCCATGGTGCTCCCTTGGCCCAGCTCCCTTCTCTGTTTATTTGTATCCTACTGTAAGCATTTGTTTTGAGAGAGAGAGAGAGAGAGAGAGAACAACCAGGGGGAGACACGGAGGCGGGGGGAGAGTGGGAAGGGGGGGGTGGAGAAAGGGAGAGATTCTTAAGAAGGCTCCATGCTCAGCGCAGAGCCAGCCCTACACAGGGTTCGATCTCATGACCGTGAGGTCATGACCTGAGCGGAGATCAAGAGTTGGACATTCACCAGACTGAGCCCCCTGGCGCCCCTCCTGCTGTAAGTTATTCTTAAAGTTACCTCAAGTCCTTGTGAAACAAAGCGAGGTAGCACAGTCCTAAAGATGTGGTTTTGTCACCGCTCTGCTGTTGTCCATATTCTGAGGGGTGAGTCAGGCTGGGCTTTCCCAGGTTACGTTGGTAACCGTAGCCTCAGGAGGACTGTGTGCTGAGCTAATGGCTTCTGTCTGTGAGTGCAAATTAGTTTCCTGTGCAACAATTCCCAGATACCTAATAGGTTATTTCCAATTTGCCTGTTCTTTCAGGAAGACCACGTGGCATTTGTTTCAAGATGGAGGTACCATAAAATCAACAAATTTGACAAACCATTCGAATTCCAAAGGGCTTGGGCCGTTCCAATTCAAGAAATAAAGAATTCCTATACAATATGGAGATAATACTCAGCTATAAACCAAATGCATTCTACGATGTATCTATCTATTCCATAGACCTTCTTGATGAAAAAGCTACTTTCAGAGAAGCTGCTCACACAAAACGTGGGGAAAGAAAGCACGTCAACTACGTGCTGCTCATTCTGGTGGAAAACAGATAAAATGTCCTAATTTATACGTCCATGAAATTATATACCATTCAATCCAGAGAGAAATCATGGTCCAAAGATAGAAAAAATTAGAATGTTAAAAAATATAGTTGTCCCAGCTCTAATTCCAGGAAAGTGGAAAGTCAAACTAGGCTAACATCGATGCAGATCTGCTTGGGTGTTGGGGTATTCGAAGAAACAATCGCAGACACACTAGCGGTGAAAGGGAGCAGAACTTAAGAGCTCCAGACCCTACCTTTCTCTCTCCCTGCTCCCCCCTCCCATTTCATAGGCTGTATCAGTGAGGAAGCTTTTGGTTACAAGTAAAGAAAAATTAACCTCAAATTATTATACAAGAGATCAATCACTCACATAATCTCAAAGTCGAGAGTAAGCTCCGGTGAGCTTCAGCTGAGGTTCAACAGGACCCCGGCTTGGGGGTTCCACACCTCTGAGCGTGTTCTCACTCAAGAGTTGGCTTTGTCCTCGTTGTTGGGGACGGGGGATGCGCCCACTCACCCCACTGTCTGACTGAGACCATTTAGGTCACAGGCCTACCCGGGAACTAGTAACTGGGACCGGAGAATTCCAGGACTTAGGCCTGGGTTATGTATCTAACAATGACCCGATAATGGGGGCAAGGAGGGTGTCAGGGACCACCCTGAACTGGGGATAGGCTCAATCCTGCACACACTTCACAACTACTATGCGTGGGAGAGAGGAGACGGGGAAGGATTACAGATGTTCCCAAAGAGGTGTGGCAGAGACTGGCCAACTGTTCAAGCGCAGCTCCCCCTGTCGCCAGGCACACAGGTAGGTCGTTCCTTCCAGCACTCAGTGAACCCAGGTGTGGCCAAGCGGCCAGAGGAACGTGAGAAACGAACATGGACCATCTTCCAGGTGTGGCACCTGAGAACCCCTCCACCCTCCATGCTCTTTCCCCTTCTGCCGGCGTGTCCGTGTAGACTCACAATGACCTTGGGAGCCACATGTTGACGATGGCAGAAGCACAGATGGAAGGGACTTGGTCCCTGAATCATCACTTAGAGGAAGCCCGTCCGCTGATCAGGAACATGCATTCAAATTTTACATGACTGAGACGCCTCCATCAAGGCTGAGACTTTTGTATATTTTGGGGTTACAATGGTCAGCCTACCCCACAAGGTGGGGTGACTTATCCAGGTTACAGTCAGCCAAGGAAACAGAAACACAGAAACACAGGGTGAGATGATCTTACTAGGGGAAGTGAAAACAGCCTTGAGAACGTGTCAGAACTAGGAAGGCACCGGATAAAAAGAGAAGAGCCACAGGGAGTATCTTTTAGGCAGACCACACGAGCGAGGGGGAAGGTCAACTGCAAGCCCTTTCTATTGCAAAACTTGTCATTTTCCCACAAGTTGTTATCCATTCTTCTCTCCGCAAATAGAATAAATAGAAAGTCCCTCGGATACTCAGAACACAAACTGCGTCGGAATCCGAATTAGGAACAAGAAGTCTCCTTACACGTGAAAGCGGTATTTGTTCTTTGGCCAAAAAGCATGTGGGGGGGTGCACCGAACCCGAGTGCAGGGGTAGCTATTGCTGTCTGGGCAGCGGCCCCTTCCTCTCGGCGCCGCTCCCCCTGCCCCGCCGCCCCGCTCTGTGAATGCGGTGCCCGTCAGGGAAGCCACCGCTGGCGGCAGGCGTGCCAAGCCAGGCCTGTCCCGGTCCTTCCCAGGGCCTCCTCTACTGGAATCACACGAAGGGGCTCAGTCCCTCTTCGGGCACCAGGCTGTGCAGGGTGAGGCCAACAGCCGTTGGTGAGCACGGTTTCCTCCTGAGCAGAACCGAGCAGCCCAAGACAAGGAAGATGACAGCAAGCGAGCGAGCGAGGCGGCCAGAGCCCTCATCCGGTCTGCC